GTACTTGCAAAGTGGGGGTCATAATAGCCTGCACCCCCAGAGCTGTTGTGAGGAACAGATGAGTGAAGAGGAGTGTGTAAACACTCAGCACATACTCAAGTACTCACAAGGTGGCTGTTGTTACTATGGTTCCAAACAGGACCACGCAGATCATTTTTTAACAGTTATATATTCATTTTAATGTATATCCTCCCAAATTCATACATTGGGAGGATATACTGTCTACTTCACTCAAAAAAATATATACCTGCGTTTTCATTGTTTCATTTTAAAATAAATATGTTTTGTTGGGAAAGAATGGGGAGGAGTTTTAGAGAAAAAGTGATGAAGCAAATGAGGGAAGCCTCGAGTCGGGAACTGCTCTGCTAATAGATTTCTCAGCCTGCTCCTGGGCTTGTAATTAATCCTGAGGGGCTCATTAAGTTCCGGCTTCCGCTCCAGCCACTCATCGGCCTCCCTCCCAGTCTTCCCTCTGCCCCAGGGAGGCCCAGCCTGGCCTGCCCCTGCCGGGGCCTCCCTCCTGCAGTGCTGCCTGGCCCCCAGATCCCTGGGCTTAATCATGGAGAATTAAGGTTTAATCAGAAGCTTTTACTGCTGGGAGGGGAGGCTGTGCGGGGGAACGGCCTCCCAGGTGCAGCAGTAGCGGGAATAGGGTGAGGCCAGCGGGGCAGGGTGAAGCCAGAGCAGGGTCAGAGCCTGGTGATATTTCACACTTTGATACGTTGTTCATTGTAGATGTTTTTGCACTTATTGTGGTTTTTTTTTTTTATTATTTATTTGTGAGAGAGATTGAGCATGCACGAGTGCATGAGTAGGGCTAAGGGGCAGAGCGACAAGCAGACTCCCGCTGAGCAGGCTCAATCCAAGGATCCTGAGATCATGACCTGAGCCAAAGGCAGACGCTTACCCGACTGAGTCACCCAGGCGCCCCTTTTCATTGTATTTTTTAAATGTGGTATTAAAATAGTAGTTATCCAGGGCGCTTGGGTGGCGCAGTCAGTTAGGCTTCTGACTCTTGGTTGTGGCTCAGATCATAATCCCAGAATCCTGGGATAGAGCCCTGCGGTGGGCTCTATGCACGCTCAGTCTGCTTGAGATTCTCTCTCTCTCTGCCCCTCCCACTTATGCTCTCTCTCTCCAAGACAAATAAGTAAATCTTTAAAAAAAATAGTACTCATCTGCATGACTGAGTTTGTTGGCACCTCCTAAGTTTTGTGCAGAGGCTGGTGTCTCTCTTGCCTCCCCTTAATCCTGGTCATGACAGCTGCAGGGAGGCTGGAGCTCCTAAGTAAGCATCCTGAGGCCAGGAGCTAATTGGAACGTCACCACTGTCAGAGGATGGTCTACTACTGGACTGATTTTATAGATGGGAAACTGACGCCCAGAAGGGCAAGTCACTGGCCTCAGGTCACCCGGCTAAGAGAAAGCAGAGGCAGGATTTGAACCCTTGACAGCCTTCCAGGGCCCCACTTCCCTTGGGGTAAAAGCCTAAATCCTCCCTGTGGCCCCCAGGGCTCCCGCAGGACCCGCCCCCAAGGGCAACCAGATCAAAGGAGGGCTGTGGGCAGAGGAACAAGGGGACCGGACTCCGGTGCTCACGGCCGCCCTCTAGTGGCTGCTGCGGTCCACGCGGCACTAGTCTGCACTAGTCCACGCGGGTGATATAACCATGTACCTGATTCTATACCGTCCAACATGCGAGCCTCTGACATACATACATACATTCATTCATTCATTCATTCATTCATTCATTCATTTAAAGATTTTATTTATTTATTTGACAGAGAGAGACACAGCGAGAGAGGGAGCACAAGTGGGGGGAGTGGGAGAGGGAGAAGCAGGCTTTCCGCGGAGCAGAGAGCCCGATGTGGGGCTCGATCCCAGAATCTTGGGATCATGACCTGAGCCGAAGGCAAACGCTTAACGACTGAGCCACCCAGGCGCCCCGAGCCTCTGACATTTAAAACGTGACTAGTTCAACTGAGATGTTCTGCAAGTACATAACCCACATCAGGTTCCGAAAGCCTTGGTATAATGGGGAGGCTGGGTGGCTGAGTCAGTTAAGGGTCTGACTCTTGATTTTGGCTCAGGTCATGATCTCGGGGTCTTGAGATCAAGCCCCACGTAGGGCTCTGCGCTCAGTCGGAGTCTGCTTGAGATTCTCTCCTTCTCCCTCTGACCCCTCCCCCCTCCCCCCCTCTCTCCCAAATAAATAAATCTTTATTCTTTTTTAAGATTTTATTTATTTGACAGAGAGAGAGAGAGAGGGAACACAAGCAGGGGGAGCGGCAGAGGGAGAGGGAGAAGCGGACTCTCTGCTGAGCAGGGAGCCCCAAAGCAGGGCTGGATCCCAGGACCCTGGGATCATGACCTGAGCCCAAGGCAGACACTTAAGGACTGAGCCACCCAGGTGCCCCCCCACCCCCGCCCAATAAATAAATCTTAAAAAAAAAAAAAAAAAACTTGGTATGAAAAAAAGAATGTTAAGATAGCTCCTTAACAGTTTTTTATATTGATTGCATGTTAAAATTATATTTTGGCTGTATTGAGTTAAATAAAACATATTAAAATTAATTTCACCTGTTTCTTTTTACTTTTTTACTTGTGGCTACCAGAAAGTTTTAAATTACATATGCGGCTTCCATCATCTTTCTACCAGAGAGCGCTGGGTATTTAACTTCTCACTCACTGCCCACCAGGGGACGCTGTGCCCTTGCGGTGGGGTCTGGCACTCCAGAATCTAAAGGAGAAGGAAGTAGTAGTTCAGAGAGTTGCTCCTTTGTGGTTGTTGTCTTGGATCAGGTCTTACAATTTGGACCTATGTTTGCCATCTGCCATCGCTCACTGGCTAAGGGAGACAGAGCCCCCTGTGGGTAAGGAGTCTGCCTCCCACACTGACCCCATTTTATTCTGCCAGGGTCAGGGGGGAAGAATTAGGCCTCCAGAGGCAACTCACAGATTCTGCAGTGTTTGTTATATAATTACGGTGGGCCACCCTCTGTTAATTCAAGGTGATTCCTGCAACACATTCTTCCAACAGACAAGGATTTTTTCCCCCTTTTTCCAAATGAGAAAAATGGAGGCTCAGAGAAGGAAAGTGAGCTGCCCAAAAGAGCCCAACAGAGGCAGGCTTTGCACCCAGGTCCATCTGGCTCCAGTGCCTTCTGGGCCTCTCCCCCCCAGCCAGCTGCCTCTCAACCTCTTGGAAACTCTTGAGAAATGTCGAGCAGACATGGCGGTGAGGACACTCTATCTGTCTAGATCAGGCCAGCTCAGCAAGACAGTCAATAATTAATTCTGAATTTTCCCCATTTATCACAGTGGCAGGAGCCGGAGTGAATGGAATCCTAATCCCAAGCTTCTGTGTTCCTTGGCCACCTGGAGCTGGACACAGTGGTGACAGCAACTGGGGCAGGGTCCCTCACTAAGCCTAGCGAGGGAGGGTGTTCCTGGCTCCCCAGTCCCTGACACTGGGTTATTAAACATTGTGCGATCCAGCAGTGCCCAGATGAGACCCATCCCAGCCTTCACAGTGCCCACAGGCTGGTGGAAAAAATACACACTGAATAAGTAATAATATAAATAATTAATGCTACAAAGGAAAAGAACAGGATGGTGCGAGAATGCAAAACTGGGGGGACATGACTTGTTTAGGGCCTCCTCAAGGAAGGGACATTGAACGTGCAAATCAGATGAAAGGAGAGGATGGGAGAGGATGCTGCATACAAAGAGCACACGCAAAGGCCCTGTGGCCAGGAAGAGTTTCTCCCATGTGAGACCCAGCAAGAGGTTGAGTGGGTCTGGAGCTCAGAGCACTAGTGGGAGGTCAGTGCCGACTCAGGAGCCCTCAGAGCCAGGCCTGGAGCCCTCATGGGGAGGCCAGCAGCCTTCAGTGGGTACCAGGGGCCATCAGGGGAAGAAACAGGCAAGTTTCCCTAATGTTCTGGGGGATGGTAGTGAGGCTGCTTCCACCCCAGGTGAGTCAGATGGCAGGCTGGGCAGTTGACTTTGCGATTTTTTTTTTGTTTCGTTTCTTCTTACAACTCCTTTCCCCTTGGAGGATTCTTTCAAACCCATTTCAGTGCAGGGATTAGTCAGGATTTCTCTATACCATGAGAGCAACTCCTGGCCCAGTCACCCCTGCTTCCTTGGACAGCTGGGAAAAATGAGGCCCACAAAAGGACAAGGATCCACCAAGGTCATGCAGTGGAGGACTGTGGGTCTAGCCCAGAGGAGGGGTCTCCGGGATCCCAGGAGCAGCCTCCCACCCTGCAGCATCATGGGTCTTCTGCTGAACGTTCCTCCAGCCTCCTGAGGGTCATCATGTGGGTGTCTTGGCCTTTGTGTGAGTTACAGAAAGTGTCCCCTTCCTGGGGCCCCCTCACCCCTCAGCTGGGTGCTTTGGTGCAGTGAACAACCTGTCCCACTGTCTGTGGCAGCTGGAGCAGGATCTGTCCTGGTATCTCCAGCAGCCAGCACAGGGCCAGGCACACAGAGGGCACTTACAAATGCCCAGGGAACAAATGAGCAGAGGCAGAGAATGCCAAGACCTGGCTTGGAGACACCGAGGGAGAGAGTGAGGCAGAGAAGGACGGACTCGGGGAGTCTGGGCGCTGGCAGTCTCTGGCTGAGCCACCGACGCCTCCTCTGGGAACCACCTGGATCTACCTGCCACCCAGGAACACCCCCCACCCCCGGGATGCTGGGAGCCCAAATCAAGTGGGCAGCTGAGAGGCGGGAGGTGGCCCCTCCCCAGGACGCCTTGGGCCCCAGGAAGAGATGGTGGCTGCCAAGTCTCACTCGAAACTCCTTGCAGCCCAGACTTGCTCTGGGGGTGGAGCCAGGAGCCCGAGAGGCCCCAGGGGCTGGCGGGGGCAGGTTTCCCCTATTTTCACAGGCCAGAGAGGGGAGGGGCCGGTTGGGGCCAGCCAGAGTAGGAGTCGAGGGAAAAGGTTCCTGCGTGGAAAGAGGCGCTCACCCGGGCAGAGCGAAGACCAAAGACCAAGTGAAGGAGCTTGAACTTGATTGTTGTTCTGAAACACATTTAACCTTTTATTCATACGCACTCGAAGATGGCCCTTCCGTACCTGATCCCAACCAGGTGATGTGACCCTGGGGCCCCAGGCTCAACTCGTCAGGCTGGGAGGACCAACACACCGCCCAGTTCCCTGCGTCAGGTCTCAGTCAGCAGGAATGGAGGCTGCAGGACCCAGAGGCCCACGGGGAGCCCTGCAGAGCTCACACGGGGGGGGTGTCATAACCAGGCAGGTGCCAGAACTGAGCCGAGTGGGCAGTGATGCTGCAGCCCCTAAGTAGCCAGAGCTGGGCCATAGAGAGATCTAGCATAACTGAAGCCCAGAGGGAAGCGGAGGCTCTTCTTGGAGGACCAGAAATGACTGTGCGAAGAAGGGGGCATTGCAGCTGGGCTTTGAAGGATGAATAGGAGTTTGCCAAAGAGAGAGGGTAGGGCATGCAAACTGGCGGTGGCCAGAATTCAAAGAACATGCTGATGGAGTAGCAAGAGAAAACAGGATTGGAAAAGCACAGTCCATCAAGGTCCGAGTTCTCCAGATCCTAGCTCGGGGCAGCTTGCCATTCGAGGCCAAAAACCTCCAGGATGATTCCCCTGGGCTCTGCCAAGCCCTGCCAGGCCTGGAGCCTCCTCAAAGGCCTGACCGCTCTAGCCACTGTCATCTTCCTTCTTGGGTCATAGGCTCTGTCCACTTTGGTCCATGATGACACTCGGTGGGGGACACCACTTTCTACATGTGGCCCTGGGACCTCAGGCCAGACTTGTGCCTCCCTGTATCTCATCTGGAAAATGGGAACACTGGGAGCTACTTTTATTGCTTTTTGCATTCACCTCGGGGACTGGGAGGCCTCGGAGGGACCAAGTGAAGGAAGAAAAGCAGTAAAAGGAATAAAGGGAAGGAGGGGGAGAAGGGAAGGAAGGAAGGAAGGAGGGAGGGAGGGAGGAAGGGGAGGAAGAAGGAAGGGGGATGGAAGGGGGGAGGGGAAGGAGAAGCTCTGTACTCCTCCACCAGGCAAACGCCAAGGGACAGGTCCAACAGTATTATTTCAGTACACGCCTGGGCTGTCGAGGCTTAAGAAACGGGTGGTGATTTGCATATGATTTGCATAGTGTTTGTTAAATGTCAAAATGGTCTGAAATGCTTCCCCCAACCCCCTGCCCCCACCCTCAGTCAAGAAGCAGGAAACCCTCCCCTTCTTCCATCAGGGACCCCACAGGGGCTGAGACCCCTCAGTTCAGGGGCTACTGGGGCAGCAGCCCAGAGAAAGATGACCTTGGACACCCCATCTGTAAAATGGGCCACAATCCCGGCTACCACCATGGGGCAGTTATTTGTCTAGAGTTAAGTCAAAGCTGGCCAAGGAAACGGCCCAGACTCTGGCACGTACTGGGGGCTGAGGAATGGAGCTGGGTGATCATCAAGAGCCCACTTTCCTGCCAGGCCCCGTGGGGCAGGCCCCCATGTGTGCACAGGGGTGTCCCTGGGCACAAGTCAGGCACGTGTGCATGGCTAAGTGATGGACAGATCCAAACCAGCCAGGAGCAGGGGTCAAGCAGCCGAGGCCTCAGCTTACCCATGACAAAAGAGGGTGTTGGAGGCCCTGCCCTAGGAGGAGCCCCAAGGAACAGGCACTGGGGTCTCAAGGTCCCTGGTCTTGGACTGGGCATCAGGGGGGTTGGAGCCCAAGGCTCGGAGGGCAGGTGAGCAGAGCCGGGTGGGCCTGGTGCCATCCCTGTGCCAGCAAAGGCTGAGGGTGGCTCTCCCCGTGGCCGCCACTGATTACCCACCTGTCCACGCTGCAGCCAACATGCCTCTTAATGAAAACATTATTTCTTCCCAGGCTCCCGCGCCTCTGCCCTGCACCACGCCAGCACCTGGACCGTGAACACGGCCCTCGAGGGAGTGGGCCAGCCCCGCGCCTCCCCCCCAACCCTCCCAGGGTCTGTGCAGAGGTCCTGACAGCACGCGGCACAGGACAGAGGTCCAACCCGGACCCGGCGTTCTACCCGGCGGGTCTCGTCCCGAGAATTCCCAGGACACGCTGCCTGCAATGCCCCCAGGGTCACCGCCTGTGCCCCATGGCTCTGTGGACAGGGACACAGACACGGCTCCCCCAGCCCCACCCACTTACCCAGGGCCCTTCAGACCCAACCAGGAGACCCCGCATAGGGAACAAGGCAGCCGGATTTAGGGGATGAGGACACGGCCAAGGGAGTGGGCGCAGGCGCACAGTGGGGAGGTGTCTGGGCCTGGGACCATGCACCATGGGACGCTGGAGAGCTGGGGGAGGGCTGGGGCCCCCCAGTCTCCACCTGTAGTCATTGGAGATTTCATTAATAATTGGCTGCACCCCCCCCCCAGCCAAGGCTGTTCACAACAGAAGGGGCTCGCGGGGGCCCCACAGAGGACAGAGTGCTCACTGGCTGGTGAGGAGGGAATCCCAAGAAGACTTCCTGGAGGAGGCTGGAATCCCAGGTGAGTTGGAGTGGCAGGGAGGACTGTAGAAGGTGCGTCAGGCAGGGGGCACAGCTCGGGCACAGGCGTGGCCGAGAGAATGTACAAGGTAGGAGGGATGAGGTCCCCGAGCTCCTCTCCACTCCCCTCTGTGCCTCTCTTCAGGTCATATGCCCTGGCTGCACCTGGGAGCCTTCCGAGGTGGCACGCTGGTTCCCACTGCAGACTGGGCACTGGAGGCCCCGAGGGGGGAGCCGGGGCCTCAGGGTCACACGAGCTCCCCGCTGCTGACTGGGCTGGAGCAGCAACATGCTGGGTCAGTGCCCGGGGCCTGGGGGGCTCCGTCGGGCGCGTCCAAGGCAGCCGGCAGCCGCTGGTCAGAAGGTCCGGCCAGTACTTCACTGAACACCCCAGGAGCCCAGAACTTGCAACGGCAGCAAGGAGGGAACAAAACAGTTTCAAGCCAGGCCCGGGGAAGGGGGAAACACCAGCTTTCCTTTTTCCCTTTCCCTCCCATCCCTGACTTGGACAGTGACACAGCAGCCACGTCCTCCTCTCCGCTGGCCCTGCCCCACCCCCCCAGGGGCGGGAGCTGCGCTGTCTTGGAGCCACCTGGTGACCGTCTCAGGAATTGCAGGCAAAGAGCGCAACTCAACCAAACCTGCCAACCAAAGCCCAGTCTTTGCCGGGTCAGAAGCCGGGAACGGAGCCCAGAGAGGAGCGATTTGCCCAAGGTCACACTGCAAGTCGGGGCAACATCATTCCTGTTAGTTAGGGGCAACAAATGTTAGTCTAAAGGTAAGCAAGAAAGCAAGGCCCATGTCCTTATCCAAGGGGCAAAAAAATCACAAGGGTGTGGAGTGGGGCGATAGTCAACCACCATCAGTCCCTTCTCCTCTCTGGGCCTCAGTTTCCACATCTGTGCTCTCTACAATCTCTAAGGTCCCTTCTGCATTAGGAGTACTAGAGACTTAAGGGGTGTCTGGCTGGCTCAGTCAGTAGAGCATGTGACTCTTGATCTCGGGGTTGTGAGTTCGAGCCCCATGTGGGGTGTAGAGGTTATTTAAAAGTAAAAAAAAAAATCTTAAAAAAAAAAAAGTTCTAGAGACTTACCCAGAGTGAAGTCAGGGCTCCCAGGCGGCGCCTCCGGAAGGTGCCCCCAACCCCAGCCTGCTCCTTCAGCCAGCACCTCCGGTCCCCTGGGTCATTGCTCTACCTCCTCCAACTACCTGAAGGATGGGGACAGAAAGACACAGGTTGCAGGCCAAACGCAGCCCTCCCCTTGGCACTCAAGGCGTGATCTGCTCAGTGCCAGGCCAAAGCATCTTCTGGCACCTGCCCAGGGCTCCCTTCTGGCCTTGAGCCCCTACCCCCACTTCCAGGCCCTGCTAGAGCTTCCAGGAAGGTGTCCTAAGCAGCCCCATCCTCACCTCCAGGAACAAGACATTGAACAAATATGTACTGAGGACCTCCGATGTGCCAGGCACTGATCCGGGAAGACAGCAGTGAGTAGGAGGGACAAAAATGCCCCCATAGAGTTTACAGTCTAGGGGAGGAGATGGGGTGAAAAAAATCATGAAACATAAAGAAGTCAGCTGCTGATTAGTGCTAGGGAGCAAGATAAAGCAGGGGTGGGGGGTGGGGCATGTCAGCAGGATGCAGTGGTAAACAGGGTGGTTGGTCAGGGAAGATCTCACTGTGGTGTTATCTGAACCAAGGCCCTGAAAGAGCGGAGGGAGGGAGGAAGGGTGGTGGAAAGCATTCGAGGCAGATGGAACAGCCAGTGCAAAGACCCTGAGGCAGGACCCTGCCCGGAGGGTTGCAAGAACAGTGAGTTGGCTCTATCCTAGTTCAGTCTCTGCCATCACTTTCTTGGAACTCTGCCCTGGTCCCCAGTCTTCTGCCCTCAACTCCCCACAGTCTGTCCTCCCCACCCACAGTGACCACCAGAGGGCACCTGTGAGCTCCTGAGTCAAGTCCAGCCTTCCTCTGCCCACAGCCCTCCAGGGCTCTCACGTCTCTCAACAGTAAAAGCTGAAGTCCTCCTCATGGGCCCCAAGGTCCTGCACGACCTGCCCTGTCCCCTCCCCGCCCTCCTCTCCTCCCTCTCTCCCCCTCCCTCTGCTCCAGTCACACATGCCTCCTCACTGCTCTAACACACCAGGCCTGGTCCTGCCCCAGGGCCTTTGCACGGACTGTGCCCTCTGCCCAGACCATTCTCCGCCCACACTTCCACTTGGTTCCCTCCCTCACCTACATTAGGAATTTACTCAAACTGTCACCTCATCAGTGAAGCTGTCCCTACAACCCTGTTTAAAATAACAACTCTTGGGCTGCCTGGGTGGCGTAGTCCGTTGAGAGTCAGACTCTTGGTTTTGGCTCCGGCTGTTGTGAGATCGAGCCCCATGTCGGGCTCTGCGATCAGCATGGAGTATGCTTGGGACTCTCTCTCCCTCTCCCTCTGCCCATCCCCAGGTCCCATTCTCTCTCTCTCTCTCAAATAAATGAATAAATCTTAAAAAAAAAAAAAAAAAAAGACAACTCTCGGGGGCACCTGGGTGGTTCAGTCGTTTAAGCATCTGCCTTCGGCTCAGGTCATGATCCCAGGGTCTTGGGCTTGAGCCCATGTCAGGCTCTCTGCCCAGCGGGGAGTCTGCTTCTCCCTCTCCCTCTGACCCTGCCCCCTGCTCTGCTCTCGCTTGCGCGCTCTCTCTCTCTAATGAATAAATAAATAAATCTTTTTAAAAAATGACAACTCGGGCGCCTGGGTGGCTCAGTCATTGAGCGTCTGCCTTCGGCTCAGGTCATGATCCCAGGGTTCTGGGATCGAGTCCCACATCGGGCACCCTGCTCGGCAGGAAGCCTGCTTCTCCCTCTCCCACTCCCCCTCCTTGTTCCTGCTCTCGCTCTCTCTCTCTGTCAAATAAATAAATAAAATCTTTAAAAAAAAAATGACAGGGGCGCCTGGGTGGCTCAGTCGTTTAAGCATCTGCCTTCGGCTCAGGTCATGATCCCAGTGTCCTGGGATCGAGCCCTGCATCGGGCTCCCTGCTCAGAGGGAAGCCTGCTTCTTCCTCTCCTATTCCCCCTGCTTGTGTTCCTTCTCTCTCTGTGTCTCTCTCTGTCAAATAAATAAATAAAATCTTAAAAAAAAAAAAAATGACAACTCTTACCCCTCCACTCCCAAATCATCCCACCCTCTGAGTCCCTCCTTCCAGAGGGCCTGGGGAGGCCGCTCTCCTACCCCACCTCGAGCCTCCAGGACCAGCATCAGAGGCTCCTGCTTGCCAAACATCACCCCAGGTTTGGCAGACCAAACCTTAAGGGCCAAACCCAGTGCGTGTGACCCCCATAAACTCTAGGGTTACACATCCTGGCTCTGGTCCATCCCCTGCCCACCGTCACCGCCTCACTGCCTGGCTGGCTATGGACTGGCCTCCAGCATTTCCCAGAGCTGCCCGGGGACCTCTCCACATGCTCTCTGCAGACCCCTCCTTGGGCAGAGAGATGCCCCTCATGCACATCACCTTGGCCAGGGGACCCCTTTGGAAACCTCACATGGCCAGGTCAGAGTGTGGGCAACAAGCATCAGGACAGGATTGGTGAGGGAGACAGAAGGGAGGAGAAGGCAGAGAGACTCAGAGAGACAGAGAGCGGCACAGAAAGAAACAGCAGAGACAGCAACGGACAGAGATACAGAGACAGGAAGAATGACCGGAAATGAAATAAACAGGGCCCCCGCACCACTGAGAGGGGAAGGGACTGAGAGGCACAGTAAGAAAGACAGGGCAGGTCAGAGAGAGGGGGCAGAGCAAAAGAAAAGGAATCAGGGGCGCCTGGGTGGCTCAGTTGGTTAAACAACTGCCTTCGGCTCAGGTCATGATCCTGGAGTCCCGGGATCGAGTCCCGCATTGGGGGGGTCCCTGCTCAGCGGGGAGTCTGCTTCTCCCTCTGACCCTCTCCCCTCTCATGTGCTCTCTCTCATTCTCTCTCTCTCAAATAAATAAATAAAATCTTTAAAAAAAAAAAAAGAAAGAAAGAAAGAAAGAAAAGGAATCAGGCTGGAGCGGGGGGCGGGGGGGCGGGGGGGGGGGGACGGGCAGCCGCCCCAGGCCTCTCACTGCCTGTCTCCAGTCTCCTCCCAGCTGGTTCCCAGAACAGCCCGAGCTCAGGCCCTGGGGAGGCCCCTAGTCCACCCTCCTTCCCCCATCGCACCCCATTCCACCCGGCCTTCCTGCCTTCCCCCCAGCCCTGCCCCACTCCCCACCCCGGACCCCACCCCAGACCCCAGCCGGGCTCTCCCGCCTCCTCCCAGCCGGGCCCCACTCCGCACCCCGAGCCCACCCCGGACCCCAGACCGGACCCCAGCCGGGCCCCACTCCGCATCCCAGGCCCCAGCCCTGCCCCACTCCCCACCCCGGACCCCAGCCCGGACCCCAGCCGGGCTCTCCCGCCTCCTCCCAGCCGGGCCCCACCCCCCACCCCGAGCCCACCCCGGACCCCAGCCCGGACCCCAGGCGGGCTCTCCCGCCTCCTCCCAGCCGGGCCCCACCCCCCACCCCGAGCCCACCCCGGACCCCAGCCCGGACCCCAGCCGGGCTCTCCCGCCTCCTCCCAGCCGGGCCCCACCCCCCACCCCGAGCCCACCCCGGACCCCAGCCCGGACCCCAGGCGGGCTCTCCCGCCTCCTCCCAGCCGGGCCCCACTCCGCACCCCGAGCCCACCCCGGACCCCAGCCCGGACCCCAGCCGGGCTCTCCCGCCTCCTCCCAGCCGGGCCCCACCCCCCACCCCGAGCCCACCCCGGACCCCAGCCCGGACCCCAGCCGGGCTCTCCCGCCTCCTCCCAGCCGGGCCCCACCCCCCACCCCGAGCCCACCCCGGACCCCAGCCCGGCCGGAATTCCCGCCTCCCCTCAGCCCTGCCCCACCCGCACCCAGCCGGGCCCCCGCCCGCCCCTCCCCCCAGGCCCTCGCCCCCCCGCCCCCGTGCCCCGCCACCTGGGGTCGCTGACGAGCAGCAGCACCGAGCCGTCCTGCAGGCGCACGTCGCGCACCGTCTGGTGGTCGTCCAGCCGCCGCGCGTTGTAGTAGAAGGTGCGCTTCCAGGAGCCCACGCCCTGGCCCACGAGCTGCGCGCGCAGGTCGCTGAGCGTGTCCCGCGGCCGCACGGTGAGCGGCAGCAGCAGCGCCTCGTCCGCCAGGTGCACCTTGATGTGGTAGCGCTTCCAGCGCGACAGGCCCCGCCGCAGCCCCTCCATGGCGCCCGCCCGGAGCTGCGGCCCCGGCCCCGGGCCCCGCGCCCGCCCGCCCGGCCCGGCCGCCCGCCCCCGCGCCCGCCCGGGCACGCCCGGCGAGCAGGCGGGGGCCCCGGAGGGCGGGACGCGGCAGCGCCGGGCCCCCCCCGGCCGCGGCCGAGACCTGCGGCCACAATGCACAGAAAGGAGACGCGTCACGAAGATAAATGCGTGCTGGGGCTCGTGGGAAGGGCCGGGGAGGGAAAGGAGGAAGAGAGGAGATGAGCGGGCTATTGTAGACAGAGATCAGGGTCAAGGGAGGTCTCTCCGAGGAGGTGGCATTTGGATCGAGTCGGGAAGGAGGAGGAGTGCGCCGGCCATGGAAGAGGTCGTGGTTGGGAGTACTGCAGGCCGAGCAGGGAGCCAGCCGCCGGTGCAAAGGCCCTGGGGCAGGACCCTGCCGGGCCTGCTGGAGGAACCGCGGAGGAGGCCCTGTGTTTGGAGCAAGGCGAGGAGGGGAGGGCGGGGAGGTTAAAAGGGCAGATTGGAGGGCGGGGAGCAGGACTTGGGCTTTTACCCCACGGGAGGTGGGAGCCCTGAACGCTATGGGCAGAGGAGGGAAGTGACTGAAGTTTTTATTTGTTACTCATTGATTCCTTTATTTCCTTCAAGACACATTCAGCAAGCACCTACTCTGTGTCTGAGCTGTGCACCAGAGAAATCTCAACCTGGGGGCCTCGCCCTCAAATGTCTCTAGTTGGGGAGGTGGGGACAGAGAGCAGGACACAGACACTCACAGCCTTATGTGGTCAAGGCTGGAGAAGTAGGAGATCCCAGGCTGAGAAAGGCCAGTAGGTGGGGATGGCTTCCCAGATGGGGGGGCATTGGAGCTGGGGCTCTGGCAGATGAGTGGGAGTTCAACACTCCCAGGAAAGAGGTACCTGCCCATGATTCCCAACTATTAGTTCAGTGTGTGCCTAGTGGGGAAAAGCAGGAGTCAAGACTTACAGCCAGTGGCAGCCACGGGTGGTTCTGAACAGGGGATTGCCCACCCCCAGTTCCTTGCTTGTCTTCTTCCACCCATGCAATCCCTTTCTCAGGCCCAGCTAGTCTCTCCAGTCACACTTATCCAAGCACCCTCTTCCCAGAAGCCTTCCCTGATTGCTGCCTTTCCCTACCCATTGCCATACCTGCCAGGACAGGACTGACCGGTTCTGGGTATCCAGGATTCTGGCTTCACCTCAACAACTCTAAGTCTGGACTTAGAAGCCAGTTTCACTGGGCCCACTGGGAAGTCCTCCTCTAGCAGTGGCCAGGAGGGTAGGAGGATGGGAGGGAGGGAGGCTGAGGCCAGAACAAGACAGAGAGTGGGCTCCAGTCCTGACCCTGACCCTTGAAAGTTTCTGAGGAAGGAACCTACCCTCCCTGGTCCTCGAGGTCCCCATCTATCCAGTGGGATTGTTATGAGGACAAAGTACTGCGGGTGAAGCACTTAGAATGTTCCTGAAGCGTAGTCACTCACTAATTGGCTATGCTGAGAGAATAGTCACAGAGAAGTGCAATCTGACTCCTCAGAGAAAAGCAGATAAAAATAAAAATAGCAAACAGAAAAGGCACCTGCTAAGTGACAGATGGTGTTCTGGGTATTCGATTAAAAAAAAAAAGCTTCCCTTAATTCTCACATGACACTATTATCTCCCATTTTACAGATGAGTAAACCGAGGCATAGAGAGGATAAGTGACTTCCTTAAGGATACGCCGTGGAAAATGGCAGAGCCAGAATCCTAGCCCAACACTAGCCACCAGCTTCCAGACATCATGTTCTTGTCAACTACACAGCTTCTCATGCAATCGTCAGAGTTCAGATGCAGATTTTAAAAGTGACTAAAAGCAGGGCGCTGAGTTTGTTAAACATCGGACTCATGATTTCAGCTCAGGGCATGATCTCAGGGTTGTGAGATTGAGCCCCGAGTCAGGCTCTGTGCTGGGCATGGAGATTCTCTCTCTCCCTCTCCCTCTGCCCCTATCCCCCGCACCCCTGCTGGCGTGTTCTCTCTCTCAAAAAAAACAGAAAGTGACTAAAAGCAAAATAAATTTCAGATGGGCCTCTACCCCCTGAACATTTTTTCCAAAAAAAAAGACAGAAACTATAAAACTACTAGAAGAGATCGTGGGAGTTCAAAATAGCAATCCCAGAGTGTTGAAGCATGACATTAAGCCCTAAAGCCTTTAATTAAAAGATTAGTAATTAACTGCATACAAATATAAAATTCCTGCATGCACACACACACACACACACACACACACACTAGAAGGTCAATAGACAAAGTTAGGGAAACTTTTCCAAGACATGCTAGATAAAAAGCTGATTTCCTTAATATGTAAAAAGCTTCCAGAAATCAATAAGGACCAACAACCCAATAGAAAACGTACCAAGGACATATGGTTTTTTAAAAGGAAATACAAATGTCTTCTAAACACATGAAAGGAACTTATTATTCTCACTCATAGTAAGCGAACTGTAAAAGAAAACTACCAAGAAACACCCCCCCCCTTTTTTTTTTTATTAAATCAGGTTGCTTGAGATGAAAAGGTTGGATAATTCACCATGTTCTTGGGCCCCGTTTTGGGAAAAGGGCAATCTCACACATCGGGGGTCAGAGTGTGAAATGGCATAAGCTCTCTGATAAGAGCTATTGAAATGATCAGCTAACTGTATCTCTTCTGGGAATCTGTTCACATGCCCAAGGATAGAATATAGCACAAGTGCTATTTACATATAATCCACAGCAAAGTAGGAGGCTGAGCTCATTGCACAAAGGAGGGAAACTAAGGCTGACTAAGGGAAACTAAGGGCAGGTGGACAGGCTGGCTCTACCTGCAGAACCAGGTCACCGTGGCCCCAGCCACCCCCAACTCCCCCCACCCCGCCCTGTCAGGCTAAGTCAGGCCTCATGCATCCATGAACAGGTCAGAGCAAGGCCCGGGGATGCCGGGCTTTAGCATACGGAGGCCAAGCCAGCCACGCTGAGCCCTGTGAGTGCTGAGTGTCAGTTCCAATTAATTCTGACTTTCTCATTAAGCCGTTAGGAAAGCCAGGTGGCTGTGGGCGGTAGCCCTCTGCCTGGGCCGCTGGATTAGAGGGATCATGGTTTCTGCCTCAAGACACTATATTATCTGTCACGGGCAATTATGGAAGACCCAGGCGGACAGTGACAAGCTCAGAAAGTCCCTGAGCTCTGGGATCTGGGAGGCTGAGAGTCGTGGGATCGCCAAAACTGTGGACTCCCAGAATCTTGGAATGCCTGGCGTTCTAGACCCTCAGGATCAATCCCCTGAACATTCTAGAATCGGAGAGCCAGGGTTTAGAATGGAAATTAGCACACATCACTTCTGGCTGTCTTAGGAGAAAAGGCACGTTGGGAAGCTCCTGAGGGAATTCAGAGAAGGAACAGGAAGTGGGAAGGGTGGGTGGTCAGAGGCAGAGGGGGCACAAGTGGGAGGGGCCTGCATCCCACCAACACCGCAGGCAGATGGGAAGACAGGGTGGGTGCTGGGCCAGCTTGCCCCTACCATGCATGGCATGTCCGCTGAACTTGGCATCACAAAATTCTGGAATCACAGATGCTCTTGTGATGCAGAAGAGATTTCTTATCTAGTTGTATCCCCTTGGATTGGAGGTCTCCAAGCCACAGCCGTGGGCGCTCCGTGGATGGGACATGAGTTCTCTACAGTCCCTACCAGCTCCGATTCACTCCTTGACCTCTGAAGGGTGAGTCTGCTCTCACTGGACCCATCATAGTACTAACTTTTGTATCCTTGTTTTATGACAAAGAAAGTGAGTGCCTGGGGCAGCTGTTTGCTGTTTGCCAGGGTCCCCCCAGGTGAGAGGCTCGGGAAAACGGACAGTACCTCCCTGCTTCCCCTGTCACCGATTCTATGAGATGGGTACTGTTGTTATCCCATTTCTCAGATGAGAACACTGGGGCTCGGAGAGGGAAATCACTTCCCCAAAGCCACACCAGAAGGCAGGGTTAGAGCCCCTGGAACATGGCAGGAGTGAACTAATGGGAGGGCTCAGGTGTCTCTCTCTACCTGGGGGTAAACAAAAAGGAAAATGTGTGCAGAGGTGGGAATGGCTTTGAGAAGGGCATGGAAAAATGATTTCGGATTTTCTTCTAAGGGCAGTGGGGAGCCATGGGAGGGTTTGAAGGAAGGGAGTGGTGTGATCTATTTTATGCATTAGAAAAGTCCCTGAGTGCTGAGTCTATCTCAGAAGATGGATACATTGATCCTTAGCTAAGAAAGGCTTTGCCTCAGGTCAGAGTGCTCTCTTCATAGCTACTACTTCTTGGACCTCTGTCCTCCTCCAATGAAATTTCATAAGGAATTCATTGCTAGGATGTCTGACAAATGAGAACTCATGGTGGTCCCTGTTGGTAAATTGGGTTATTCTAGTCTATCTTTATTGAAAACAGAAGTTATTTGCCACCAACATGTTCAAAAGTGGCATCCTTCATATGAAAAGAGTTGTTAGAAATAAATAAGAATTGAGAGATACATGCATAGAACATGGATGCTATTTTGGATACACAGAAGACGTCAGTGGGAAATTATAAAAGAAAGGCTCACATGCAAAAGTGTTTAACCACCCTAGAGCTCCCCCATTCTTATATTTGAGAAAGATATCTGATATCTGATAATAGTAGATTTTTTGAGGATGCAAAACAATGGGTACTCATTCCATTGCTAGCATGAGTTAATACCATCTTTCTGGAAGGCAAAATGGCTAAGTGTATCAAAAGCCTTTGATGGATAATAAGCAATTATAATAACTCACCTTTATTGAGTAACAAATCAACTTCACTTATGATGTTTTCTCCACTTGAACAGAAGCTCCCCTAGGGCAGGGATTCTAGTGTGTTTTGTTCACTGCTGAGTCCCTGGTGCCAGGAATAGCAGCTGGCTCTGATTTATATACCCAGCATGATCTAGTCTACTCATTTTCCTGAAGTTTGAGAACCACTGAGCTAGACTAGACAAAAAGGGAGGTTTTGGTGCAGACAGATACCTGAGCAT